GCTCCACCCAGAATTTTTTAACCCCTCCATCCCCCCCAGCCAACCCCATTTTCCCTCTCCCACCCCGTCCAGGAGCAGCTGCTGGCCCAGGACCTGTCTCGGTTGCCGGGCCCCAAGCGGCGGCTGCTGGCCGGGCTGGAGGAGCTGCTGAGCCGGGACATCCCAGCCCTGAGCCCGCTGCTGGCCCACGAGGAGCCCCCGGGCCCGGGCGTGCGCGGGGGAGCCTTCGACGGAGCCCTGGGCCCGTTCGGGGCCGGAGATGGCGACGAGGACGAGGAGGAGGAGGAGGGCGACGACGACGAGTGGGTGGTGATGAAGGACAAGGCCAAATACGACGAGATCTTCTACGGGCTGGCGCCCAACGGGGGCAAGCTGAGCGGGAAGAGGGCCAAGGGCTGGATGGTGGCCAGCAACTTGCCCAGCTCGGTGCTGGGCAGGATTTGGCAGCTCAGCGACGTGGACAGGGACGGGATGTTGGACCACGAGGAGTTCGCGCTGGCCGGGCACCTGATCGGGGCCAAGCTGGAGGGGAGGGGGCTGCCCACGGACCTGCCCCCGCGCCTGGTGCCGCCCTCCAAGAGGAGGCACAAGGGGTCAGCTGAGTGACCCCCCAAAAAAACCAAAAAACCCCCATCAAAATAGCCCAAAGAGCTCCAAAATCCGCCCAGAAACCGCCCAAAAAAACCCCAAAATCAGGGATTTACAGACACCCCCCGTGCCTGGTGCCGCCCTCCAAGAGGAGGCACGAGGGGTCAGCTGAGTGACCCCCCAAAAAAACCCAAAAACCCCCATCAAAATAGCCCAAAGAGCTCCAAAATCCGCCCAGAAACCGCCCAAAAAAACCCCAAAATCAGGGATTTACAGACACCCCCCGCGCCTGGTGCCGCCCTCCAAGAGGAGGCACAAGGGGTCAGCTGAGTGACCCCCCCAAAAAAACCAAAAAACCCCCATAAAAATAGCCCAAAGAGCTCCAAAATCCGCCCAAAAAACTCCCAGAATCAGGGATTTACAGACGCCCTCCAAGAGGAGGCACAAGGGCTTTGGCTGAGTGACCCAAAACTCCCCAAAATCTCCCCAGAATAAGAGAGCCAAAAAAATCCCTGAAAGTCAAGGATGCCCCAATAAAGGCAGAGCGAAGCTGAAGGAGCTGTGCTGAATTTTGGGGTGTGGGGGGAGGGCAAAGGGCGCATTTTGGGGGGATTTGGGGCTCGTTTTTAGGGGGATTTTGGGGTTCGTTTTTGGGGGGATTTGGGGCTTTTTCTCAGCTGCTGATGGACCCCGACCTCACCAAGATGGCGCCACGCCCGTGCCAAGCCCTTCTCAAAATGGCGACGCAGCTCTTCTGGTCCTCCCAAAGATGGCGGCGAATCCATTTCCCGCCTCTCCCACAGAGGTCACGACATTGATTCCGGTCCTTACCATGATGGCGAAAGAGCATTTCTGGTTCTCCCTCTCCTCTCAAAGACTGTGTTGTTCAGAGTCCTTCAGAAGATGGCGGCGAGGCCTCGGCCTTGGGGGACGTCCGGAGCGGGGGCTGGGGCACATCTGAGAAGACTTGTGGCGCGTTTAGGAGGTTTGGGCACATCTGGACGTGTTCTTAACGCGTTTTAAAGTCTCTTTACAGGCACATCCCGACACCCCGACCTTCCTAAAATGGCGGTGCCGCGTTGTCACCCCTCCCTAAGATGGCGGCCCCGCCTCTTCCCGCCGTTTTTCCGGAAGCCGCCTCAGAAAATTTCCGCTTCCTTCCCGCCCTCACGCGGCTCCCTCACGAAATGGCGGCGGCCGAGTCGTTCCTCGCCTTCAACCCCGCGGCCCGGCCGGGCCCCGGCGCCGCCTCCCGGCGCCGCTCGCGCGGGCCCCGCAACCGCAAGAAGGGCTGGAAACGCTGGAGCGGCCCCGAGGCGCAGCTGGGCCGCGAAATCGGCGATTTCCTGGAGGATGTGGGGCTGCAGGAGAGAGCGGCCGGGTGAGGAGGGGGCGTCACGGGCTTGGGGGGGTCGTGAGGGGGCTTGGAGGAGCTCAGCGAGATTTTGGGAGATCCCAGAGATCCTTGGGGGTTTTTGAGGCGAGGCTTGGGGATTCCAGGGTTTTTGAGGGGGGATCTCGAATTTTTGAGGGAAAACTTTTTTAGGGGTCTGATCTCGGAGCAGCCGAACGAGGGCCTTTTCTTCCTGGATACTGGAAACGCCCCTAAAGGTGAGACGTTTGGGTTTTTTTCCCCCAAATTTGACCCCATGAGGATTTTGGGGTGCCCTGACCCCCTCCCCTGACCCTTCCCAGGCCGGCGCCCCAAGAAGCCCCCACAGAAACCCCTTCACGTGGACCTGGTGCTGCAGCCGCTCTCCAAAGTGCCCCCTCCAAAAAAGTGAGTCTGGGGGGTGCTTTGGGGGCTCTTTTCACCCTAAAAACGGAGTTTTGGCTGGGTCCCCACATTTTTCCTCTTTCCCGAATCTCCCTGGAACCCAAATTCCCCCTCAGGGACCTTCCCCATATTTTGGGGTCTCATTTTTGGGGTGTCCCCCCTCCTCCCTTTTTTTTTTTTTTTTTTTTTCAGCATCTGCGCCCACCAGACCCCGAACGGGCGGAAGGAGAAGCGGCGCCGCGAATTTTGGGAGAAAAAAGCGGAAAAAGGGATTTTCCCACGGG